ATAGAACATTTCCATAATGCTTGAGAATTCAGTATCTTTCTCGACATCATTTCTTAGTCTAGGGACTCAAGCAGGCAGCAGCTTGTCACTTACAGCCCTGCCATTTCCTGTTCTAGTTCATTAAACCCTAGGCTTTCCCCAGAAACTCACAACCCTCAGGGAGATCCTTCTGCCAGTCAGAACAGATTCATTTGAAGGAGGCAGAAACTGATATGCAGCTCTGAGTGAGGATGAAGGCCATAATAAATTGCCACCTACACATGGAATTATATTTTGTAGGATGACAGTGTGTGGGCAGAAGCAGCAGGAGTTATGTTTAGACCTTATAGTTGGGGACTTATTTCATATTGACTGCTTTCTCCTTGGCTGCCAACGGATGGATAAAGTTAAGAAGCTACAGCCAGGTTGGGAACTCTTTACCTTTGCCTTTCTTTCTACAAAATACCCCAAATAAGCTAGCAATATAGTCAGTTCACATGCAAAGGCTTGAATCAAAACTACCGTTCTCTAAATCATTTTGCTTCTCTTTTCTCAGGGATGCTTAAAATTCTAGAATTTCAGAGTCACGTTCATAAATAAATTTATAAGCACCACTGACCACTCCTGGCAATCACATGGCTACTGCATGCTGCAATGGAAACCGGAATAAAATGACATCCCAACATAGAAATGAGCGCTTGAAATAAGGCAGCTGAAAAGAAAAAGCCACATTTAACTTAACCTTACTGAGGAAGGGGACAAAGATGAGGGAGGACTCTCTCTACTCAGCTTTTCTCTTAACCATAAGTGAGACACTTGGAATTGCAAAAGCAACATTTAGCTTTCAGGAGCATGTTGCTGCCAGGAGTGGAAAGAAAGGATCTTACACCTCCTTTTCTCTCCTGGTTCTAAAGTGGTGGGCAAAATGTCTGCTTTTATTGGTTTGAGGTATTCTAACCATTGCCAAAGAACAAGTAAAGAAAATGAGATACACATGCTCTCCTCCTAAAAATGTCACCTCCTTTGTAAAGCTGTCTTGATTCCCAATTCAGAATGTATAGCTTCCTTCTCTACATTCTATCATATACTTTATACCTCTATTAGTATCACAGATCTCCCTCTCTCACTAAACTGTAAAATCCACAGTTCAAGGACCAAGTCATTACCTCTGTGATCCCTGCAATGCAAAGTAGAGTGCTTTATTAATGGTACAAAATAAATGCTTGATGAATGAATGTGGTGGTGTCAACTTCATAACTGGACATTATGTTTTCAGAGTTCTAATAAATGTTGAAAACAAATAAAGAAACTACCTTTCCTACTTAGCTGCTCCCTCCATCCCAATCTTTTTCCCTATATTTGGTATCATGATATTGCACCTTGAAGAGGGAGACACATCTAATGGGAGATATCCTCCTGAGAAGATATTTTTATATTCAATATGTCTATTTTGATAACTCTCCAATAAACCATCTTTTGGGGAATATTTCCAAGGTTAAACTGAACTTGAAGAGCAGAGTTCCAATCATTTTAGGTAGGCAAAAGATAGCTCTGCTGGCCAGGTGCAGTGGCTCACGCCTGTAAACCCAGCACTTTGGGAGGCTGAGGTGGGCAGATCACTTGAGGTCAGGATTTCAAGATCAGCCTGGCCAACATGGTGAAACCCTGTCTCTACTGAAAATACAAAAATTAGCTGGGTGTGGTGACGCATGCCTGTAATCCCAGCTATTCAGGAGGCTAAGGCAGGGGAATAGCTTGAACCCGGGAGGCGGAGGGTTGCAGTGAGCTCGGATCGTGCCACTGCACTCCAGCCTGGGCAACGGAGTGAGACTCCGTCCCCCCGGCAAAGAAAAAAAAAAAAAAGCTCTGCTTCCTATGACAGTGTGCTGTAAGATGCCTCAGAATAAACTATAAAGGTCTAAAAGCTGAAAGCATGACACCAAGACTCCCCTAACCAGGTGCTGCCTATATGAAATGATCAAGAAGAACAAAGAAGAAACCCTGAATTCTTTTTAACTAATAAGGAAAAATGGTCCTTAGCCCTCAAAAAACAAGAGTCAAACTAGAGACTGATTGGTAAAACTGTTTCAGGTACAGAGTCAGGTGATATAAATGTGTCTAAAGAGAGAAAGGTCAAATTTAGCCAATGAAAGTCATCTCAAATAAGATTCTCCCTCTATTTTCACCTGTGTCATGTGTTATTTTACTACTGGGGTTTGGCAAAACCTCAGCTGGAGGCTTTTGACCTTTGTCAAAATTCTGGTTATTTGGAAATTTCTAAACAATGATCAAGTTCTACCATAATGCACATTTTCTCCTTGCAAAACAAACAAAATGCTTTGACAGGGACAATTCCCAGTCTCTTATCACTGAAAAGTACAAAGGAAGCTGGAGAGTTGTTTGAATATCATATAGCACTTTTGAGTTCATTACGCCATTATCCCCAGGGTTGGATTTAATCAAGATGAAAAAGCACAGGCTCAAAGCCTTTTTGGTTGACAAGAAGCAATTTTTTGGCTTGGGACTTCTGTGTCTGAGTTGTAAGTCAGGTTCACAGAAAAGTAATCAGAAACTAGCCTGACTGGAGACAAGAAAGAGTCTTGAAATAAGAGGTGTGAGACCATGGGTTGTATGTGTGACCCAGCCTCTTAAGAAGCTTAGGGACCTTGAGCAAATTACTTATACTCTCATCTGTAAAGTAAAGGACTAGACTTGGAGGATTTCTAAAGCCCCCTGTAACACTATCAATTTTTAATTATCTAATGTTGTTCCTTAAGTAACCAATTCGTTCATTCAACTATTTGAATACCTTCCGGGTTCACTGAGGAACAGTTAATTCAGGTATCTATTTGAATACCTTCAATGAACATAATGAAAGAAGTAAAATTAACAGCTCTTGCCCTCAAAGATTTGATAAGCCAGTGGGAAAGGTGAAGGCTTTACCCAACAGCTCCTAGCACAGGGCCAGGCACAGGGGCTGATTAATCCATTCCTTTGGTCACAAGGAGCCTGCCAAATGATGAGGAAGGAAAGGTGTAAGATAAACTCCACAGAAGCTCTTAGGAGAAAGACAGGGTAATTTATAATTTCAGTCCACCAATGTCTATTGAGTACCTACTGTGTGTGATGCCGACTCAGCCAGATCAGGCCTCTGATGACACTTACTTACTTATTCTAGGTGATAGAGAGAAAAAAACAAAACAGGTTATCAAAGAAATGAAATCCAGGGCTGGGCTTGGGGGCTCAAGCCTGTAATCCCAGCACTTTGGGAGGTTGAGGTGGGTGGATCGCTTGAGGACAGCAGTTCAAGACCAGCCTGGCCAACATGGTGAAACCCTGTCTCTACTAAAAATACAAAAATCAGCCAGGCATGGTGACACATGCCTGTAACCCCAGCTACTTAGGTGGCTGAGGCAGGAGAATCACTTGAGCCCAGGAGGTAGAGGTTGCAGTGAGCCAAGATCACTCCACTGCACTCCAGCTTAGGTGACAGAGTGAGACTGTCTCAAAAAAAAAAAAAAAAATTTAGATTGAGAGAAATTCTATGAAAGAAACAGAATAACAAATAACTGTGTTTGCTGGTGGGGTGGACTGCCATTAGTATAGGGCAAAGAGGGGTAAGTCTTTGGATATGGTAGTAGTTGACTGAACTCAGACCTGAAGGCAGAAGAAAATTAGAACAGCCAGCACAGAGGGCCTAGTGATCCAGCCAGAGAGGCTGGTAAATGCAGAGGCTGAGAAGGGCTGGTGCAGACAGACCATCTGTGTGGTTGGAGCTTAAAAAGCAGTTACTTCCAGAAAGTATAGAGTGAACGCAGTAGTTCTCGACAGAGGGCAATTTGCACACCCCATGGGACATTTGGCAAAGTCTAGAGACATTTTTGGTTGTTATGATGGTGGGGGTGGGGGGAAGGTTGAGAAAACTTGCACTAAAGGAATATTTCAGCCCAAATTTCAGTTTTAGTCATTATGTTCTGAACTCATCATGTTCTCGCCAGCTTGAATAGTTTTTTTTTTCTTTCCTGCAGAAACAAAATAAGAACAGGTTTCAAGTGGCTCACTCTTTCATCTACTCTCTTGGGAAATCCCACTGGGGAGGTTCATAGGACTCCAGGAACCTTTGGAAAGCTCCACAGGATATGAAATATCTACCTAAACCGGTGGGAAAGGATCCAAGGAGCCACACCCCCAACTGCTCCCTCAGTTACCAGGGCAGAAAAAACTGAGATTAGGGGTAGGGCACAAAGGAGAACATATTCATGTTTTATTTGCATAATTACAAATTAATGTTAAAAAGAATACAAAGTCAGGTCCAGGGTAGGGATGAAGAGGTTGCAGATGCCCTCAAGTATTTGAAAGCTCTGGCCTTCTGGCCTTATGTCTTTTTCTTTTTTTTCTTTTTTTTTTTTTCATTTTTGAGACAGGGTCTCCCTCTGTGGCCCAGGCTGGAGTGCAATGGCACAATCTTGGCTCACTGCAACCTCAAACTCCCGGGCTCAAGCGATCCTCCTACTTCAGCCTCCCAAATAGCTGGGACTACAGGCGTGTGTCAAGATGACCCAACTAATTTTTGTACTTTAAAAAAAATTTTTGAGACAGAGTCTCGCTCTGTTGCCCAGGCTGGAGTGCAATGGGGGGATTTTGGCTCACTGCAAACTCAGGCTCCCGGGCTCAAGCGATTCTCCTGCCTCAGCCTCCCAAGTAGCTGGGACTACAGTGCGCGCCACCACGCCCAGGTAATTTTTGTATTTTTTATAGAGACGGGGTTTCACCACGTTGGCTAGGCTGGTCTTGAACTCCTGACCTCAAGTGATCCTCCCGCCTCGGCCTCCCAAAGTGCTGGGATCCCAGGTGAAGCCACCGCGCTGCACCCCTCGGGCCTTCTTCTAACTTGGGTCCCTGGGCCCCCCAGGCTTTCGCTCCCTTCCCCTACGCCGCCCCGCGCCCGCCTCAGGCCTCTCTGGGACCCGCCGGCGTGGCGTCCTGGCCCGCCCGAGCCCCACGGTTCCTCGGGTCCTAACCTCGGCGGGCGGGCGCCTCGTCAGGAAGCCCCGGTGCAGGCTGTCGTTGTACAGGTGGCCCACGCGGGCGGCGCCCGACCCAAGGCCGCGTCGGGTCAGTGTGCGGCCGCCGGCTGAGAGGCGGCTGCTGAGGGGCCGGACAGGCCAGGGCCGGCTAACTGCCGCTCGCCCCTGCTTTGCATATTCATGAAGTCTAGCGAGGCCGATCGCCCCGGCCAGCCGTGGACGGGTCATGAATTATTCATGAGAAAGTTTCTGGTCCCGCCCAGAAAGGCCTCGTTGACTATTCATGAGCCGAGGAGCGGGTTTGGGCCGGAAAAGGCCGTTGACTCTCGGTGGAAGGGAGGCGTCGACGAGCTGAGGTGAGGGCTGTTGAGACGCGAGGTCTCCGCCCAGAGAGGGCACTCGGACGTTGTTAGTTCTGTCTTTATGTCAAACACATTTTTTTTTCTTTTCTTGTTACTTAAGGCTTTAAGTTGGATTTGAAAGTATCATTTTTCGTGAGGGCCTAAAGTACTGTGAAGAGAATCGGGAGGGCAGGGGGCTGAGGAGGAAGACAAAAGGGAGGCGATTTCCCCCAGAATTGGACAGAGAGCACCCAGGTAGCTTTGAAATGCAGATTTTTCTGGACATGAAATCAAACTTGCTGAGCAAGCAGCAGCCATAATGAGCCATGACGAGGCTGGTAGGGCAGACGACGTCTGTGCCCGGCATTGGAGGGGCCGTGTGTGGTGGAGGTTTTGGGGTTTACCTTACCTGGGTCAGATTCTCCTCAGCCATTGAGGTTTTCTGCCAGGATCGATGCCTGGTACAGGCCAAGAGGTGAGAGAGGTGGGGACGAGCCACCCCGCCCCGCTTGACCTCAGCTCCCCTTTCGTTTTAGTGAGGATTTGCCAATTAATCCCTGTGGACTTTAGTTCCCTAAACAGTTCAGAGGGAGAGAGTGTCTTGAACCTCAGGATTAGCCAATCGCTGAAATGTGTCCGAGTGCGCAGAGCACTGGACAGGCTGTGCAGTACATCGTGTACTCAGCTGGCAGAAATGAGGGGTGGTTCTGGCCCCGAAAGGGGTTTTTAATCTCAGCAGGATCATGATCTAATTGCTCCTCCACTGGACCATCAATCTGTTGAGGTAGGAAAAGTATATTACATCTTGTAATCCTGCACGTTGCCTGGCACATTGTAGTCGCCTCGTAGATGTTGAATGAATGAATAATTGAAATAGCATGAAAGGTATATTAAAAAGTCAAAAGCATGAACAAATACTCAATTAATACAGTGGAAACCATTTACTCTGAATGAGCACAAGTAGGGGAATGACCAGGGCCAAATGGAATTTGTTAAAATGGTGAATAATTTATTGAAACAAGCTCTGTCAGAAGGTCTAAGTAACTGGGCGAACTTTGGCAAACCAAGTTCCCTTGCATAGCCTCACTTTCCTTTTCTTTTTTCTTTTTTTTTTTTTTTTTTTTTTTTTTTGAGAGGGAGTCGTGCTCTGTCGCCAGGCTGGAGTGCAGTGACACAATCTCAGCTCACTGCAACCTCCACCTCCCGGGTTCAAGCGATTCCCCTGCTTCAGCCTCCCTCCTAGCTGGGACTATAGGCATGTGCCACCACGCCCAGCTATATATTTTTTTTTTTTTTTTTTTTTTTAGTAGAGACAGGGTTTCACCATGTTGTTTAGGATGGTCTCGATCTCTTGACCTTGTGATCCGCCCGCTTTGCCTCCCAAAGTATGGGATTACAGGTGTGAGCCCCTGCGCCCAGCCCCTTTTCTTTATAGCTTTATGTTTAGTTTTAAATCCATCATCCATTTTGCATTAATATTTGTGTACAGTGTGAGATTCAGGTTAAGCTTCTTTTCATTCTCTCTTCTTCCCCCCATCCTCTGGATGTCCTTTTGTTTCAGCACCATTTGTTGAAAAAAAGATTCTTCCTCCACAGAATTGGATCTTCTTTAAATCGAAGGGGTTGGAAGATGTCTGTGCTCCCTTCCAGCTTTATGAATCTATCGAACCCATTTATGTTAACATACACTTCTTTTGAGTAAAGTCATTCTTAATATCATGCATGTGTAAGGAAGGTCATATAGTTGCATTTCAGAATCCAGCTATTGGATATTGTTCACCTGATAGGCTAACTGCCGCTCGCCCCTGCTTTGCATATTCATGAAGTCTAGCGAGGCCGATCGCCCCGGCCAGCCGTGGACGGGTCATGAATTATTCATGAGAAAGTTTCTGGTCCCGCCCAGAAAGGCCTCGTTGACTATTCATGAGCCGAGGAGCGGGTTTGGGCCGGAAAAGGCCGTTGACTCTCGGTGGAAGGGAGGCGTCGACGAGCTGAGGTGAGGGCTGTTGAGACGCGAGGTCTCCGCCCAGAGAGGGCACTCGGACGTTGTTAGTTCTGTCTTTATGTCAAACACATTTTTTTTTCTTTTCTTGTTACTTAAGGCTTTAAGTTGGATTTGAAAGTATCATTTTTCGTGAGGGCCTAAAGTACTGTGAAGAGAATCGGGAGGGCAGGGGGCTGAGGAGGAAGACAAAAGGGAGGCGATTTCCCCCAGAATTGGACAGAGAGCACCCAGGTAGCTTTGAAATGCAGATTTTTCTGGACATGAAATCAAACTTGCTGAGCAAGCAGCAGCCATAATGAGCCATGACGAGGCTGGTAGGGCAGACGACGTCTGTGCCCGGCATTGGAGGGGCCGTGTGTGGTGGAGGTTTTGGGGTTTACCTTACCTGGGTCAGATTCTCCTCAGCCATTGAGGTTTTCTGCCAGGATCGATGCCTGGTACAGGCCAAGAGGTGAGAGAGGTGGGGACGAGCCACCCCGCCCCGCTTGACCTCAGCTCCCCTTTCGTTTTAGTGAGGATTTGCCAATTAATCCCTGTGGACTTTAGTTCCCTAAACAGTTCAGAGGGAGAGAGTGTCTTGAACCTCAGGATTAGCCAATCGCTGAAATGTGTCCGAGTGCGCAGAGCACTGGACAGGCTGTGCAGTACATCGTGTACTCAGCTGGCAGAAATGAGGGGTGGTTCTGGCCCCGAAAGGGGTTTTTAATCTCAGCAGGATCATGATCTAATTGCTCCTCCACTGGACCATCAATCTGTTGAGGTAGGAAAAGTATATTACATCTTGTAATCCTGCACGTTGCCTGGCACATTGTAGTCGCCTCGTAGATGTTGAATGAATGAATAATTGAAATAGCATGAAAGGTATATTAAAAAGTCAAAAGCATGAACAAATACTCAATTAATACAGTGGAAACCATTTACTCTGAATGAGCACAAGTAGGGGAATGACCAGGGCCAAATGGAATTTGTTAAAATGGTGAATAATTTATTGAAACAAGCTCTGTCAGAAGGTCTAAGTAACTGGGCGAACTTTGGCAAACCAAGTTCCCTTGCATAGCCTCACTTTCCTTTTCTTTTTTCTTTTCTTTTTTTTTTTTTTTTTTTTTTTTTTTT